GGCCCCGCAGGGACAAGGACGGCGAGGGCCGCGCGAGGCACGCCGAGGCTGAGGCCGCCCGCGCGCGGCGCCGTTCCCGCAGCTATTCGCCCATCCGCAAGCGGCGCCGGGACTCTCCCAGCTTCATGGAGCCACGGCGCATCACCAGGTATGTAGGGGCCGAGGGACTAGCCAGGGACCTAGGGGGTGAAGGCCCCTGGGACCTCCTGGGGGGCCCTACTGAACCTAGTACTGGGAGAGGAGGAGGCTGGAGGAGAGGAGGTGGGGGTTCAGTAAAGGGAAGAGGGCTCATCGAGGAGAGAGGCTAGAACTGGTGGTGCTGGGGAGGGTGTGGACTCAGAGACCGAGGTGGAGGTTCACTGAGGGGAGGGAGGCCTCAAGAAGGGAATGGTCCCCGGTGGGGGCCCATGGAGGGGAGGGGAAATCTGTACTTGGGTCTGGGTGGAAAGCGGCAAACCTGAAATTAAGTTCTGAAGATTCCAGCCAACCCTCCTGGAGCCCCTCCCTCCCTCCTTTCCTCCCTACATTCATCTCCTGGCAATGATGTCTCCTTTTCTCCTTCATCTCAAGGTCCAGCCTGCTGAGTGGCCTGTGGCCAGCCTGGGGGCCAAGTGGACCCCCTCTCCACAGGCTGCAGGGGAGATGCCCATGTGAGCTGATCTGGCTCTGTTCAGCTGTCTGTTTGCCTCTCCTTTTCTCACTAACCTCACTGCTCACCTTACAGCCCCGTGGGGAATTAGGAGGAGGGGGCACCAGCAGCCTGGTCTCTGGGGCAGCTGTGGGAGAACCCATCTGTCCTACTTTCCCCACACAGTCCAGTGGGGCTGTGCCATGATCAGAGCTTCTCTGCCAGGACTGGAGGGTCTGGGCCTGGGTCTCCAGGTGAGCCAATGGTCTGTGTTTGCAGAAATCACCCAGAAGTCCTAGACCCCTGACATGGGGTAGAAGGCCACAGGCAAAATTCTGAGCCCAGCTCTGCCACAGCCTTGCTGGGCAGCCTTGGGAGATCCGTGGGCTCCTCTGGGTCTCTGTTCTCATTCCAAACAATAAGCAGGCCTCCCTGAGCACCTTTTCAGCTCTCACATGGTCTGATTTTCAAAATGGCCCTTCGTAGGCCTTGATGATCACATTGCCTCCTCTCTTCACCCCAAAGCTAAAGGCCAGACCAGGCTTGGGACACCCCCCAGACATATGAGGGAGGTCCTAACATGGCAGACCCTCACACCTCCCACCTGGTACCCACCTCAGCCCCTCTCCCAGGCTGCCTCCTCCTCCCACTAACGTACACCTGTTTTCTTCCTCAGAATTAACCCAGTGCGATCTTAACCACTCTCTTTTGTTTTCTCTGGGTCACAGTCTCCTGGCTTCAAACTAACTCCAGGGCTGGTGGGGGGTAGCTGAGTGAGGAGAGGGGGCCAGTGGGCCTGGGCCAGGTCGTGGGCATGGGCAGCAGTGGCCAGGGGTCTCCTCCTTGTTCCCTTCACATGACCGGAAAGTCCCAAATCCTCCATTCTGTGGGGAACAGAGGAGCAGAGCTGGGCCATATCCACAAACCTTTCCATGCACAGAAACCACTGCTTAGCTTGGTTGATGTAAATTTAAAACTTACATTCATTCAACAAACATTTATTGAGCACCTACTTAGGTCAAGCTGAGATTTGGCCCCCCCTTTTCCTGTAGACAAGTGAGGAAAAACAAAATGATCAACATGTAATTGGCAAGTGACCACTGACTGTCCAATTCTGTTGGGGAGGGAGGGGGTGCATCTGAGGCAGCGGAACCCTGGCCACTGCTGGGGAGGGGCTCTGGGCCCAAGTGAGGGCCTTGGATGGTCTGTAATTGGTTTTTTCCTCCTGGCAGTGCCCGAAAGCGGCCCATCCCCTACTACCGGCCCAGCCCCTCCTCCTCCTCCTCCAGCTGCCTGAGCAGCGATTACTCAAGCCGGAGCCCCAGCCGCAGCCCCAGCCCCAGCCCAGGCCACAGCCACGGAAGCTACAGCAGCCGCAGTCGAGGGACCCGAAGTCGCACGCGCAGCCCTTCCCGGACCCCCAGTCCCAGCTATCACAGCCGGAGCAGCTCAGAAAGTGGGGGCTTCTGAGCCCATACAGACCCAGATTGGTGCCCCCTGTCACAGGGAGAGGCAAGGGGTCAGGCCCCAGGGCCCATGGGAGGGGCCTATACCCTATTATACAAAGAGGTCCCAGGGCCAGGGAAGACCTTGAGGGTGGGTGCCCTGCAGACAAGGAGGAGCTGGGTTCTGCTGCTTCTAGAGGGTCCCTACCCCCACCTTCTGCCCACCTACCATGTCCAGGGAACAAAGAGCCTTTTTGAACACAGGGATCACCCTGCCCCCATTCCTGCTTGATGCCAGCTCACCAGGCTGGGGACCTCAGCTCAGTGGACCCAGGGACATCTCTGTAGGTGCCAATCCTGGGAGCTTCCCCTACCCACTCCGCAGGGCCCTTGGCTTGTCTCTATCACTGGATGAGCAAGGAGGTGGACAGAAAGCAGGATATAAGTTAGAAGAATGGCCTAATCTTTAGTGTACCACCATCCAGGCTGGGGAGTTGCTGATTGCAGGAAGACCCTGTCTGAGGGCTGGTGGCTGGCCCCACAGCCTCCCAATTCCCTCTCCAGGCCCAGGAGTGCCAGGAAGAGCCAGGGAGCTTACTCTTGGTCCCACCTTTCCTCTCCAGGCCAGTTTCTCCCCTTCAGCCCTCACCTCATTCCCTGAGCCAAAGCCACACAAGCCAGGCCTTCTGCATGACAAGAGGTGGGACATACAGACCACAACTGAATCTGACCCTGAGATGAGAAGGGGTTCAGGTCAGTAGGTGGAAGAGAGAAGGAGTGGATGGAAGAGCCTATGAGAAGGGGGGAGAAGCACTGCAGCCTGATGACTGAGCAGGCCCTGGTGTTCCCATGTGCCCCTTGTCTGGGTCACAGGCATAGGATAACATGGGCTTCAGGCCTGCCCAAGAGAGCACTTCCTCCTCAGGGTTTGGTGAGGAGGTGGCCAGCCAAGGCTTCCCAGAGAAGGGTGCTATAGCCCTTGGAAGAAAGGGTAGGATCTATACTGAGGGCCTTGGCCTGGGGCATCGACAGGAAGCAGTGGCCCCCAGCCCTCTTCTGCTGCTCCCAGCCCCCTCCTCCTGGGGCCCTCAGGGATCTAATGAAGTCTTCCTTGGCCCAATAGGGCAGATGCCCTGGGCTCCAGTGGGGGGAGGGGTCTGGGGTCTTATCCGGGTTCCCCTCTCTCTATTTCCCACTCCTTTTTTTTTTTCCGCAGTGCGGATAAAACTTGAGACTCTAATAAAACACTCAGTGCCCAAAGGGCAGGTGGTGAGACCAAGCTTCTGTGGATTTGGGTACCTGGAGAGTGTGGGGAGGGCATGGGGTCCTAGGGGTCCCCCACTCCCCGCAGCCCCCACACCTCATCTAGCTTAGGCAGTGAGTGGGGTGGGGCAGAGGGAGGAGGCACTGGGCCAACACACAGAACCTTCTCTATATGTGGAATGTTCCAGACTGGCTAGAACACAGTTTGTAGCATCATATGGCTGTGAACCCAGGCTCCCTAGGATGGCACCTGGAAAGGGAGAGTTTAGAGTAGTGGATTGTTTTTTTTCTTTTAACAGTTTCATTATCTTTCTTTTATAGAGATCTAAACAAATACGCAAAAATCTCCTCCCCTCCCCCTCCTTTCCCTCCTCCCCTTCCTGTCCTCCTCCTCCTCTTCCTTCTTCTCTCTTAGAGTGGTGGATTTTAACCTGGTTTTGAATCAGCTGCTTTTCAGGAACCTGATGAAGGCTGGGAACCCTTTTCCCAGAAAATGTGCACATGCCCACAATTCGGCATGCAATTTTGGACTGCACAGACACTACTAAGCCATTAGGGCCCCCTGGTCCACCTCTGCTGAGGAAGCACCTGACATGTCTATAGCTCTGATCTGTGTGAGCCATGATACAGATGTCCTGGCTCTGGCCTGGTCCCCAGAACAGAGAGGTCATGCTCCTGAAGCCTATGGTTGTGTCAGCACATGACCTCCTTTCTAGTTTCATTTCCTTCCTACTAGAAGGGGCACCTGAGGGGGCCTTTGGCCAGTGGCTCTGTTTCTGATCTGAGGAAGCTGTTCAAAGAAACACTTGTCTCTTTAACCCTTTACACAAATTCAGCAAAACTGACCCTCAGGCAAGCTCTTGGGGCTACAGGGAGCACATATTTGGCCCTGGTGTGGAGATGCCATGAAACACAAAGGTGGGCATGAAAATTTAGCCTGTTTCACACTGAGCCCATACCTGCTCCTTCCCTACTCCCCCATTCCATTTCCTCATTGCTCAGCCTGAGGCCTTCCTTTCTCCCTGCACGCTACAGTCAGGCTGCCCCCAGATGGTACCACTTCTTCCCTTTGTGTCCCACTTCCATTCCTGGCCCAACAACCCTGGGCTTTCTCACTAGCACCCCTCCCATGCCCACCTCTTGCCCACTCCAATCCATCCTGCTCTATCTAAAATGCAAATCCAACCTTTCATTCACTCATTCCACACATACTTATTGAAAACCTACTGTGTGCCACACAGTGCCTGGCTCTGAGGACATAGTATTGAATTAATGAAACAACTTTTTGCCTTGTGGACCCTGCATCCTGTGACCAAGTTCACCAGCTCATAGGGCTTGGAATGCTTCTGAGGGGCTCCACCAGGAACAGCAGTCCTTTCCTCCTGCCAGCCCTCCAACCTCCTCTCCCACCACTGCCCTTTTCTCCAGTACACTCCAGTTCAGCTGACCCTCCCTCCTGTGCCCCCAAGAATGTCCCTCACCTCCACAGGTTCAGGTGAGGCTCAGTTCAGCTGCCTCCTACTCTGAAGAGCCTCTGGTCCCAAGCTGTGTCACTCCTGCCTCTGGGTTCCTCCAGTACTGAGTCTGTTCCTGATTTTAGGGTCTTAAGATCTTCTTCCAGTTGTTTGTTGGAAAGCCTCTCTCTCCCTAAATCTGTGAGCTTCTGGAGCCCAGGCCATGCTTTCTTGGTTTCTGCCACCCCCAAAATAGGTGCCTTGAAATGTTTGTTGAATGAGTAAATGAGTGAACAAGGGAGCCATGGAGTGAGCGGTTCCAGAAACCCTGGGGGGCGGGCAGGGGACCAAAGGCAAGGTGTGTTGGCAGCAGGAAGACACTAGAGGGCGACAGAGAGAGGAAAAACTGCCCGTTGGTATCTGCCAGGAGGGGCACAAAACAGGCAGCACTAAGAGGAGAGAGCCCTTGGGGAGGGTCCTGGTCAGCCTGGAAGCCTGAAGCTCGTCCTCCGCGCCCTCACTGGCTATTTGAGGAAGCCCGTTCCATGGATAAAGATGGGAAGGGTACCAGGGTCCCCCCCACAGACTGAAGCGTCAGCCTCTGCTCTGCACCTTGGGAAAACAGAAAAGTACTGCCAGAAAGGCAGGCAGGAAAACAGGAAACTCCAGTTCTGCCTTGGTAACAAGGAAGGGGAAATGGGATGGGGGTGGGGGGACCTTCCCTGGATGTGAGCCTTTGGGATGCAGTAGGTTCTCTCCTGGTCTCTCTCCATAGATGGGGCTGCAGGGCCCCCTCCCCCCATCTTTCCCTTTCCAACAACCACAGCGACTGGGCATTTGGGCAGGGCTTTCCTGTGTTCCGTTTTCCTATTGGTTTCCTGAGGACCCAGACTCGGGGTAGCAAGTCACAAGTGCATATGCCCAGTTTGGGTGTCCCAGCTGGCACCCCCCATCCTCTGCCTTTCTGAAATGGTCTTGGAAGCCCCCTGGCCACTCACCAGTCTCTCAGCTGAGGACATATTCAACAAACTGGTCCTATCACCAGGCACCTTCTCTTCCTTCTCCAGATCCCCCTCTCGTGAAAAAGTTTCTCAGGACACCTAAGACATGAAGGTGCTCCAGCCGTGGGGACTCCCACCTCCACGGCCACCACAGGGGATGCCACATCTCCACATCCTCCCTGACCCTTTGCCTCTACTCACCATATACACACCCCCTCCGGCAGCATTAGATGGCAGAGGGGGCAGTGCAGGGGACCTGGGGGGAGGGGGGAAAGTAGAGGAGAAACTGTTGATTCACGGCGCTGGAAGGAGTCTTAGAGAACATCCCGTCCAATGGTCTCATTGTACAGATGAAGAAAATGAGTCATGGGAGCTGGCCGCTGGCTGAGGTCCCAGAGTTAGAGACATGCAGGTCCCCAGACTCCCAAGCTAGAAAGATTCTTTCTCCTGGACAGCAGGGTGGTAGGGGCCAGGGGATGGGTCCCCTTCCACCTGGCCCCTCCTTGGCACCCCTTCAGTGGTGATGGGGGTGAGGTGATCCCAAGGCCAGCCAGAAGCCAGAGGCCTAATGGGTGGGCAGGTTGGAAATGGGGTTGTAGAAATGGACTCCTAGAGGGTCAGTGTTTAGACACTTCCAGAAAGACCTGGTGCCCCCCACCCCCATGTGCTCTAATTACTGCTGCCCACATTTTCAGTTCCCAGCAGGCTCAGTGACAGGTGAAATCTGTCAGCTGTCAGACCTCTCCAGGGAGCTCTGTCAGCTGCCTGAAGACTCTCGAACTTTCTCTGAGGTTGTGTCAGGGAAGGAAGAGCTGGCTCAGCCACAATTGGCAAAAGCCAGCCAAGGGTGTGGCTACTGTGCCTAAGGCCTCAGGCACAGTGTCAGGCTGAGAGGCTGGTCTTCGGGCTGCTTCAGAGTATCCCAGACTGGAGCCAGAGATAAAGGGAGAGACCCTCCAATTAAGTAACCCCAGACCCTACAGTGCCCACCTCCCCTCCCCCAACCCCCACTATGGCTTCTGGGAAACCCATGGGGGTGGACTTAGTTGTCCCCCTCTTAATCCCAGAAAAACTACCCCTGGAAGCTCAGTGACTGGAATGCAAGCAGATAATTGTCAAAGAACATTTGGGCAGGTAGGCAACTGGGGGCAGATGTCCAACTTTTGCTCCCTTTGCCAAGCCCTGTGCCTGGGTTCTGAGTGCAACCTTCTGGAGGAAGGGCATCTTGGTCAGGGCTGGAGGGACCCCAGAGAGTCTGGCCCAATTCTCCATCCTGACCAGCAACCCTTGGCTGAACATAACACCCT